AAGTAGGAAACTTGTCAAGAGTATTTTCACATAGTAACGGAGGTGGACCTATCCACTTCATCTTGAAAGTAATAATAACAATATAATATAATAATAAATAAAATAAATAATTAAAAAATTAAAATAAATAAAAAAAGTAAATAATTAGTGTTTATGTGCAGTGAAATCAGTAAAATAAGTTTGCATTAACTAACGCCGACAATACGGAGGTAGCGGTGAATCATTCACTGACTTTCCTCAGTGGCACTCCTCACCCGCACCCGCACCCCTCGCCTACGCTGCTTTGCAATTCTCATAGCGATTTTTATCCACGCGTCATGTTTGTGCGCCGCCGCCTGCGTCGATCGCTCACCGTCACGTCAAAATAAAAGAATTAAACAGGCAAAACACGGAAATTAAAAAGTCAAACGAAGATATCCAATCTTGGATGGGATTTAGTAATAAAATGTATGAAGAATGAGAAATCGTAATGAACAACTAGAAAAACAAAAAAAGAAGACCAATGTTATATCACCAGCTTGGAACACAAAATTAAGGACGTCGAATTCAAGTCCCGCAGCTCAAGTGTAGAAACGAGGAATTGCCTATGATTGATACAGAATCTACTACCAGTTTGATTAAAAGTGTATGTTGCATGGCGAAGTCACTGAAAATAGATTTAACCACATCCGAAATGCTGGACACCTATCGACTACCAAGTAAGACGAGCCCAAAGCTTATCCTCGTGGAGTTCCAGTCTGTGTCTACAAAGGAAAATTTTATTTCATGAAATAAAATTGTTCATCAAAATAAAACATGAAATGAGAAACTAAACACCGAAGCTCTAGGAATACAGGGCAAACGCACGCCCGTATATATTTCGGAATATATTCCACCACGTATGCAAAATCTGTTCTTCCTATCATGCTAGTTCGCAAAGCAAAACTATTACACATATTGTTGGTCAATAAATGGTCGTATTTTTCTTCGCAAAAACCATGAAACAGAGCTTTTTCGTATTAATTCAGAGGCTTGTTTATATAAATTACTTGTTAAGAATTAATTACATACATTTTCACTTATTTTGTAAAAAGACTTTAGTTATATTATAAACATAAAAAAATAATTAACTTAATTGTTAAAACACACTTCATTCATACACATTTAATATTTATTTACACAAAACTCATATTGCCACACTAATAATACAACTACTTCACATTTTTATATTCTCATTTCGACTTATAAACTGTTGCTACTTTATGAATCGACTTTCTTTTCTTATCTTAATGATTATTATGGTTTAACCTACAATATTTCCTAAAACGGTACATGGTGTGGTCACTTAATTGTAATTTATTATATCCAATCGTGATGAATGTAAGTAATATTACTCCTGATATAGACAGCTTTAATGTAGCTGAGGTTTGTACGTGCACTCACACACATGAGTATATTAGTATAGTTCATTAGAATATACGTAGTATAAACAAAAATCTTGATGAGTCTATTGTTATGTTGGAATCTACGGACTTGCAATACGATGTCATCGTACTAACCGAGTGTTGGCTCAGTAAGGTCTCTATGGTCCGTAATCTCAATGGTTACACGTGATACAATTCGAATAATAATAATAATCAAAATAAAGGTGTAGTAGTTAGTATACAGCGTGTCCCAAAATTCAACGATAAGCGGGCGCTGGAGGGTGGACCTGCGCATAACTACTTGAGGAAAAATAAGAAAAAAAATCTATCTCATTTTTTTTTTTTCAATTATGATGAAAAAATTGTTATTCTTCGAAAATTTACTCCCTTAATGATATTTTGAATCACCACGACCACATTTTTTCAGATATTTCTGATGTTTTAATTTTAACGGCCACCTAAGTAGTACTGCTGTCTACCACAACTCTTAAAAACCCTAGAATGCCTGCAGTTTTACACAAAAATCCATTAAAATATTTTTTTCCTTAAAATTTTGAAATATTTTTACCTTCAGTCGACTTTCACTCATCGTTTTGTAAAAAAAAAGTATGGACACCACTGCGGCAAGTTTTTTTAAAAATTGACGCAACTAACCAAGATTCCAAAATGGTATAATACTTTAATAAAACTAGGCGCCAAAAATATTGGTACCATTTCTAAGAAAGATTAAAATTCTTGATTATTGTTCTTGTTCATAATAATCACTTTTACTATGTACCGAAAAAAGGTTATGTGTTGCAATTTCTTGGAATTTCAATGGCACATGTGCGTAGTCGATACAATTTAGAAATTAGAGAGAGAAAGATAGCGAGAGATATACGTTAGAAAGAGATAGATAGATGCCCTTTGTTGAATAACAATAAAGCAGGTACTTAAAAAAAATGTTGCAAAACATATTCGTACCATTTTTAAGAAAGACTAAAATTCTAAATTATTGTTCTTATTTATAGTAATCACTTTTACTATTTGCCGAAAATAGGTTTTTGTTGCTGAAAAATGTTGAATAAATCAAAACAAATGGTATTTCTTCATTTAATTTATTTATTGCAAAATTAACATTATAGTAAATGTTCAAATTGTTTGCCACCAGCATTAATACATGCACGACATCGCCTTAAAAATGATCGTTTTATCTGTCGTGCATATCTTCTACCGTTGATATGAGCCGCAGCTTGATTGACTTTTTGCCGAAGCTCGTCCAATGTTGTGATGTTATAGTAGACCCATTTTCTGAACACTCATAGTGTGCACTCGAAAGCTCAAATGCTCCACTGCTGGGTTTGTGTCTGTTACGTCAACGGCAAACTCAATTGTTTAATTTCTTGAATGTATTGATTGAGTAATTATCGTGTTTGTTCTTTCAAACAAAACCAATGTTGTACAGTCGCAAACATAAGAACTCTTCGTTTTCAATGTTAATTTGTCATAATTGCCCTTTTGCTTTAAACGATTATGTCCTATGATTATGTGAGTATGTTTATAGTCGTTGGTTACTTATACGTGCACAGCTCGGCTAACAGACTGATAATGTCACTTAATGTGAAGGATTCAACCAATCTGCAGTCAGGAAGGTTCGGCCAGTTCAGTTACTTGTAAACAGTTACTGGTCAAAAACTTGTGTAAAATATTTTTTCAGTATATTATTAAATATAAAAACAAGTGGAATCACGACTTGTGCTTTGGGCTAGAACACAAATGTTAAACACGATATTACGTAGTTTACTTTAGAAGTTGGAATTAATAGCACAAATGTTAACGATGTCGTTGAAGATAATAATAAGAAACTAATTAAATTCCTCAGCGTCATTTAAATCGAAATTTCCCTATAGTTTGATCATTTACAATTGCCAAAGTAACAAATAGTATCATCAGAATTTAAATAATGTGTGTGTGCAGGCAGATGTTCTAATGTATACATTGAAGAAATTAGTTATATGTAACGCTGTTACACGTATTTGGCGAAATATGAATTAACATTCGGAGTTTAACCTCATTTGTTATTCGCTAATTTGACAAAATTCAACACACTGTTTGTTATACACAACCATTCCAGTGCAGAGTTCATGCACCTATAGGTAAAGTCGATGCTCTATTGGTTCTGAGACATTTTTTACGCATTGAAAAGGAAAGTATTCCAGCTTTTTGGTTGAAATTTGTATTTATGTAATGAAATTAATTATCAAATTGGCTTAAAAACTTTCTTGAAACGATATTCACTAATGTTGCAATAAGGAAGTAATTTTAAAAAATTAATTTTACAACTCGCTGGTTAAATGTTAATTTTGTTTAACACCTTTCTTCACACTGATCAATTCAGAACCGAACAGTCGGTTAGGGGATCAGGTGTCTTAGGGACAAATCTGTCAAATTTCAGGTCAAGGCATTTTATACAATAAACTTTAAGGGAACTTAATCGTTACATAAAATGCATGTATACATTAATATAGCACAAGTTCCACAAGACCATACAGAGAAGAAAATGACTAACAGACATATAATATAAATAATATATAAATAACAAATCTGCTGGTAAAGGCATGTTCATATCTTTACCAGCAGATTTGTTATTTATTTAAAATATACATACATAAGCTCATTCCCTAGTCCCACAGAAGAGGTAGGCAGAGATTACAGAACACATTCGCATGATAATTCTGTTTGGTAATTCTTCTTACATCCATCCGCTGTACATGCCCAAACCACCTTAACATTCCTTTCTCTATTCTAGTCACTAAATCCTTTAATCCTTAAGCCACATCTTTCACGTATTTATTTAAAATTCTGGTAATATTCAAATACCACAAGTGGTCCACAATGGATTGTGTGCAGATGATTTTAAATATGTACATAACAGAACACGAAGCGTGAAACACGTTTCAGTCAAAGGGGTAGAAGTTAATCAGGACATTGAAAACCCTTCTGCATTATTCATACTGGCAAATGAGGGCTTCTTAGTGAGAGATAGTATTTGATAATACAAGCAAAAATATTTACTATATCAAGTCACGGCTCAATATACATAATTGTTTTTCCAGGAAAAGAGAGAGAGGAGACTACAGCTAATTTTGTTTAATTTGCATCTCTGCTAAAGTAAGCGATATAATACGAGATATTATCCAGAAATACATGTTTTTTTTCTATTCCTCACATTTATTCGTAAAAATCAAAATGTAATGTTACACAAAGCTTACATTGTTATTGCTTATTTGGATTAGATATGTTAGAGACGTTCGCTTGCGTTTGCTAACAAATTCCTTAAAAGGATGTTAACATTCCCAGAGACCACACAATTCAGTAAGGTAAGAGCGCAAAGTATGTAAATCCACTACAACTTTATCAACATCAAGAAAAAAAATGCTTAAAGGTTATATAGCCATTAACATAACTAGAACTTTCAGTTCTCATAACGCAATGACCATCCGTTCTCCAATATCTATGATGCATTTATATCTTTATCTAATAAGATTCAGAGACTCAGCCAGTATTCTGGATATAATCTCCATAGATATGAAACTAATAAAACACGTAAAAATCTCTTGCGGTTTATTTTATATGGCTTCATGTGAAAACTTGTTTACAAAAGCAATTGTATACTAATATATTTTAGAACTCTATTTTATATTCGACTCTACTTCACCACTTTAAGTACTAAAGCTTCATAAGCGTTAATGTCCACGGCTTTAGCGTTCAGTACATCTCTGAAAGGAAAAAACAAATTAAGCCACAGCTGTACAAGTCCTTAAAGTATCAAATTTTACTAAATTCTTAAAATATCATTGTTTTAACGTAACGATGTTCTTTTAAATGTGGAGTTCGACTGAAGTCACTAACAAAAGTTTGGAATACTAACATTAAAAATGCCTAGTGATTCGAGTAAAGTTATTTTACATCAACTTACCCAACATTTTTATTAGAATTAATACTTGTGAGAACGACCTTCACTTTACCGACGATGTTTTCAAAATAACTTGTATCTAGGGTGTAAGGGACATCTCTGAAGTTGATCAGAATAACATAGTTCTCTTTGTTGTACCACCTGTTAACGATGAAAAATTACATTTAAACATTACACGTTTAAAATTTTCATCTGGCAAAAAATGTGCCACTTGTGTCTACTCTCACTCTTCCTTGTTACTTGTGCTGCTTATGTACCCCGTGTAATTGATGTCTTTGCTTTTGTCTTCTTTAGTAAATATTATTAGAGCATAAATTAAATCTTACAATTGTGGTGTTACTGAGCTAACTTCATCTTTTTTTCTAAAAAATTAAAGTTATTTAAGAATATATGTCAATCCGCAGGAATCGAATACATTTTAATATAGGTTGAATTTATGCGCTAGCCATCGTCCAAGTACATGTGACCCAAAAATTGTCTATAAAGTTCCTACTACCTATAGACTGACAAAATGATTATATAACATATTATCACCATAACATTACCTATTCAGTCTACCTAATCTGACTGTCAAAACACTTTAGCTAACGTTAGTTGCATCTTATCTCCGAGAGTACAGACACTCAAGTCGTTGATATGCTCCTTACACCATATGTATTGTATCGTAAATACTTCTTGAATATATATATAATACATATAATATAATCTTTCACAACCAATCGCTATCTGTTTCTCGTATTTATTCCGAAATTTTTACTATTGTTTCATTTTAAATTTAGTCCTTGATTATGTAACCAATATGTTTCTCAGCAATTGCCATATCGGAGTTATCATCTCATACTCAAACAATCTAAAACATAATACATTTAAGATTTGATAACGGTAACCCATCGGAAGATTGGTTGCAGTCCACACTTCCAATCGAGTCTTTTGTTTCAAAGAAATGTAAATTTCTGAATAATCAATAGCACCAGTTCTCGCTAATAGTGAAGAAAAACATCATAATCAAACCAGCATATCAAGGAAAATCCTCAGCTCACATTGAGCTATCATAGCGGACCATATCATACTGCCACCTTACCTATTACTACGTTCCGGTTTGGAAGGGTAAGGGTACTGATGAAATTACCTTACTAGTGATTATTAAAAACATTCGCGGTTATTTATTAAATTATCGTCTCTAGATACAGAAGAGCGATTTTCAAGTCAAACTGTGGTAATAAATCTGTAACTATATAGGTATAATAAATCTGTCATAAGACATTTTATCTAATTTTGTTAACCTATGTAAACTTATGGTTAATTTAGATTATGCTGTCTTTACTACATTAAGACTATGTAGTATTCTCCAACTATAAAACTAATTCAAGTTTGAATATAACTCACCTTCTAAAACCTAAGACATCTCTGTTGAAAGCAACAGAGTCGTATCTTCCATAACGGAACACCTTCTCAGTTCGCAGTTTAGCCAGAGCTTTGTATACGTTCAAGTGAGACTTTTTGTTATTGCGTTGGTATTCCACGTTCAATGTTTCATAGCCAGCAGCTACAGGCAGCCATGTTTTGTCCGCAGTCGAGAAACCTGAAAAATGTTTTGACAGGCGCTTTGTAAGCGTTGAAAATGTATAAAAGGACACGGAAAATACGTTAATATCATTGTGCCAAAAATCTATGATACACAATTGTTAGTAATTGTAAAGAGCGAAAGTTATTGACTATTGAGAACATACACATAGGTACGAAACAAACATTCGAACAAAAACTTTTCAACTTCCCATATAAACGTGTTGCTTTTGGAGCAATTTTTAAATATGATGACTGATAGATTGACAAAACCAAATTTTTGTGAATTTCGGATAGTGATAGAACAAAAGTTTTATTAAGATGTTTCGAATTCATCAAATGCAACCCTGTCTATGGCCTAATTCCAGCATTGAATGTCTTTCAGCTGAAATGGTAAACCTGTACATATCATTTCTTTCGATACTAATATAACGTTGCAACGAGAACTGTTTTAAAAAGATGGATAGAAAAGAAGCAAACCAGCCGTAACCTTAGTGGCACCGCCCCGACTGGCCCTAATCATCCACTGCGTCCAGCGATACCGACGACGTTGTCATACATGTCACGTTTTCATTAGTTCACAATGTCTGCAGATATTGTGGAGAATATACGAGTGAATTTAGTTAATTTGTGGTGAGAGTATCAATTGTGCGTATATCAACTTCACGAAGGAAAAGTTCAGGCCGAAGGGTGTCATGTGCTGACGTTTCCGAGGCCGGTTACCGGACACTCGCGTTGCGTCACACGTCGCAGTCCATACGAGTAAACAATTATGTTTTGTTATATTATTATATGTACATGTTAATCTATAAGGTATTTATTAATGGGTCAGTACATCCTGATTACAAATAAATAAAATAAAGAAATAATATAAGTTACTAAAGGTATTAAATTAAAATTAACGTAACAATAAAAATCTAATTCCACGTCTGATATTGGACGCCAAGTTACATGGTATGACAATTTCAACCTGATACTTTTCTTCCGTGAATTTTCCAGTACTTTTAAACATTCATAATACATTTTGGAAGCAATATACATATCTTGTTATTAAAAAAAAAAGACATTGTAATTGTCATGGGTGCCCGGTTAAAGATGGACTCCTCGAATTGTTTGTCTCAGTTATATAATGATTATTTGCAAAATAAATGCTTATAATTTCTTTTCACTGATATGTTGTATGACCTCGGAATGTTTATAATAATAATAATAATATAACAATAATAACGCGCACACACTCATAGTCCCGCACTAGGGAAACCCTGTATCGCCGGTGCCATGGACACACACATAGACACCCACAAATTACACCCAAACTCACGAGTTAAATAAATGTAAGCCATACAAATTTTTCCCCCAGCACGGGAATCGAACCCGGGACCTCGTGCGTGGCTGCCCAGCATGCCCAGCAACCGTTCGGCTACCGAGGCAGTTTATTCGGTTGATATTACTTTCTTACCAGCGTTTTTCTCAGCGCTCCATTGGAACGGAGTTCGTTCGGGATCTCTTGATGACATCCAGTAATTTATAGGGTCGTCAGTGTTACATCCACTCGGATCTACGGTGTCTTCCCAGCTTACGTATCCGTCAACCATTCCGATTTCTTCACCCTGAGAAAACAATTTGATTTAAGTTATTTTCTCATTTATTTTCATAGGTATAAGGCTTTTATTAAACTTACCATGTAAGTTACAGCAATTCCAGGCATCAGCAGAAGGATCATGTTCATACCATCAACTAATTCAGGACTATATCTTGATGCAAGTCTTTTATTATCATGGTTTCCAGCCTTAAATACATTAAAAATACTGTTAGTTAATACAATTTAAAAAAAAGGGAAAGTGGTTGGAATTTTATCTTAAATATTATTACTTACTACCCAGTTTGATAATTTGTCAATAGGCTTAAACGTGAGGAACTTATCAAGAGCATATTTAATTTCAAATGCTGTCGAGTCACGATTGACATCAGTAATGAGTGCAAAATTGAACGGCATTTGTCCACCTTCACGTTCACCATCTCCAAAGTATCTCATAGTTTTTTCAGGTGAAGCATAAATCTCTATCATCATTACTTTAGTAGATTTATCTTTAGCTGAGTACTCATCAAATATTTCTCTCCACTGGTAAACCATGTCATAAGTTTCATCTTGATCCTTAGTATAAATATGATCGAGATAATCGTAGTCGTCGGGGTTATCATTCCATCGTGAAAGTGGTTCATCAGGGTATTTCCCGCCATATAGATTCTTGTCAACTTCAAACAAATGTGCTATAGCATCGACTCGAAAACCTGCGACGCCCTTATCTAACCAATATCGAATAACATTCTTCATTTCTTCGACCACATCAGGGTTTCGGTAGTTCAGATCAGGTTGTCCAATGACAAATTGGTGAAGGTAGAATTTCCCTACTTCTTCTCTATATTCCCATGCGCTTTTGCGGAAGACACTGTTCTGCAATGTACATGAAATTAATCACGTTATAATTACTTTGTTAATAACAAATTTTATGGAAACTATTAGCTCGAAACGCTTTTTGTTCTAGGTATTTAATTGTTTACTCCACTGCAAAATTACAATTGAAATTATACCCAGTTGTTAGGAGGTTGAAGATTTCCGTTTTCATCACGTACTCCATCTTCCCAAATAAAGTAGTCATAATATTTCTTATGACCCTTTAGTGCTTCTTGAAACCACATGCTTTCATTGCTTGTATGATTTGGCACAAAATCAAGAACGATTTTGATGTCTGGGGAAACCAAATTCGTATTAATAAAAATTAGGAAGACATTCTGCGATTACTTTAAGGAGAGTAAGAAATAGTAAATTCTTACCCAGTTCCTTAGCTTTAGCCAATAATCTTTGGAAATCTTCCATAGTACCGTATTCTTCTTGGATCTGATAAAAGTCAGCAATGTCATACCCAAAATCGTACATAGGTGATTTGAACATTGGCGAGAGCCAAGTTGCCCCAATACCCATTTCTTTTAGATATTCAAGTTTCGACGTTATTCCTGTAAAAATATGGTAACATTTTATAGGCTAAAAGGTAAAAAGTCCTACTGTAAAATAACACAAACGGTACCTGTACTTGCGTTACATTTACACTATTCTATATTCGTCTCCCTAATTGGTTGTAAAATATTACTAAGACTGTTTACTGGCGGAGGATTGTCATCGGCTCCCAACCCAAGGTACAGGGTTGCCCTAGTTTAGGAACTGATTGATGACTTGTCTTCTTGTTTTTTTTTTGTTAGATTATGTACACGCCTGCACATCAAGCTACACATTGACGTATCTTGTTCCGTTGCAATAGAGGCTATTTTTCGAAAAAAAATGTGTAGTCTGATGTGCCGTTGGCGAAAAATTAATTATGACGAAAAATTATGTATTTTTATTTATTGTCACCTTTTGGTACTCGTATTAGTTCTACTGATTTTTTTTTCTTTTATCATGCTAGCAACGTAAATAAGGTGACCTTACCATTGCGTACTAAAAACATATTGCATTATGCATGTTTTCTACGTTGATATTATACTCGCGCTTCGTCCTTCGAGATTAGCATGAGATTGATACTTGTAGTAAGGCATACGTGCGGCCACTTCCTACACTTAGTTGAGGGTAAAAACAAATAAAAATACAAAATTTCTAAATTACAATGCGCACTCCAGCTCTCGCTTGGTGATCTATTTGGTTTCATTAGCTGTTCAGTGTTCGGCTACTTCACACTGAATTAACTTATTTGCCAATTTTAAATTTGAACAATTTTTTTTCTTTCAAAAAATGCTAATCTCTTCGGACGAAACGCTTCGTATAATTATGATCGAGCTTCACTTACAGGTACGTTCGTTTAATCACTAATTAAATTGCCTTTTTCATTGGTACAGTTTGTCGTATCCTAAAATATTCAACAAAACTCACATTCAAGAAATATTCTAAAAAATATACACAAATGTTGACTTGCCATTAAGATCGCCGATGCCATCGCCATCGCTGTCCATGAAAGACCTTGGATAGATCTGATAGAAAATGGTCTCCTCCCACCAATCAAGTTTCCTTTCTTTTGCATGTACAAAGAGACATAGTAACGGCAGCAGAACTATCCACTTCATCTTGGACCTAGAAAAAAGTATGAAACTCAAATTAATTAAGAACTTCTAAAAGAGGCAGCACGGTTAACTTTAATGGACATATTTGATAAAATAATTATTTTGTCACAGATGGCGGTATGGCAAAAAAATAGTTAAAAACCAAAAACCAAGATCTGCAAGAAGCACATAGAAAAGTTCTTAAGGTCTGCTGGTTCGTTCCTTGGAATCCAGCCGGATTGAATTATTTTTTTTAAGTGTTCGATCTTTAAAAAATGAAACTATTTTCCCGGATTTAAATCGCGTGTGTTTGTTTTTTCAAACAAACCTATACGCGATTTAAATCCGGAAAAATATATATCTTCATTTCCTATGTGTAACAATCGCGAAAACCTAAGAACTCGATATGTTCGGTCTTTGTTATTTATAATTATAACAAACGACAATACCGGCACACTATAATGGCCATTTTGACAGATTACAATAGTGTGGTCAAATCTCAATTCATTATCAAAAAATATATAATCAAATACGAGTCGGATCTATAAGTTTTTAGATTTATAACTGATATTGCAAGGGGTAGTTGATTAAAAAGTTTTAATAAAACGAAAATAGGAATGTTTACTTAATATATCGTCAATTCGAAACTGCATTATTTTGCATTGAGCTTTGACGCGAGTTTGCTGGAGGTGACGATTGTATTAGATTTCATTTTTTTTAAATTTCGAATTTCGAAAAATAAACGCTGACTTGTGTCGTAAAATTATACAATTTGTCTGCACGTCACTATTTCGCAAACAATGAACAGCCATTAGCTCTTTCAACGTAGTTATGAATTAATACGAAACTTGATGAGCTGACAAATGTCAAAACCATCACAGCGTGACTTAGTGAAGTAATTTCATAAATAAAAATAGGTTAATACCATGGTAGTAAAAACATCGTCACATTCAATTAACTTAAAAATAATTATTTTTGTTAAGAAGAACATCTATTTAAAAATGGAGGACAAGAAATCTATTAGATCTTTACTGGAAAAAATATTTAAGTGCTGTACTTACCTGATGGGATCAAAACAGATGATGCCTGCTGTAAACTCAGAATCGCATTTTTATATGAAGAAGTGAAGATAAAAAACGATAAATAGGCTAAGTACGTACCTCAATCATGTCATTATCAAGAGCTGTTGAGCTATTGAAAGCTGCGACCACATTCATGCATAAAAACAAATTCAAGGTTACTAATAAAAAGAGACGTTGATGTTATTTTTTAAATATATTTCTGAACTATTAAATTAGGCCAATTCAAGTGGTTGTTGCTCTTATTTTAAGAGTCTATACTACCTCTGCCCGAATTCAAATTTTTCTCGTACTAATATGGTTTATTTTGCTTGTGTCGAGCGGCTCGGACACTGACTATATTTCAATATATATTTGATTGGTGTATGCAAAGTACCTATTGAATTCAGCGATTTTCATATAAAATTTCAGGGTAAGTTTGTAGTTTTTTTCTATGGTG